GCCCCTCCCTCCCCGTCCGCCCCGCCCGCGGCCCCCCGCCCCCCGCCCGGCCCCTGCGCGCCGAGTGCGCGCGCCCGCGCGTATGTGTGTGAGTGCGTGTCCTGCTCGCTCCATGTTGCCGCCTCTCCCGGTACCTGCTGCTGCTCCCGGGGCTGCGGGAAATGCGAGAGGCTGAGCCGGGGAGGAGGAACCCGAGCAGCAGCGGCGGCGGCGGCCGCGGCGGCGGCGGCGGCGGCGGGAGGAGCACCCCAGGAGGAGGACCGGGATCCATGCGTCTTTCCTGGTGACTAGGATGTCGTCGGAGGAGGACAAGAGCGCGGAGCAGCCGCAGCCGCCGCCACCACCCCCCGAGGAGCCGGGAGCCCCGGCCCCGAGCCCCGCAGCCGCAGACAAAAGACCTCGGGGCCGGCCTCGCAAAGATGGCGCTTCCCCTTTCCAGAGAGCCAGAAAGAAGTAAGTTGAGTGTGAGCGAGCCAGGCCGGGAGCCAGCGGCGGCGCCGGGCCGGAGCTGTCACCGCGCGCCGGCCCCGCGGCCCCCGCGCGCCCCCGGTCGCCCCCGCGGGGTGGGGGTGGGGCGCCGGCCGCGCGTCTCGGCCCCGGGCGCCCGCCGCCCGCCCCGCGCCGCCCGCCGGCCTCCCCGCGTCCGCACGCCCGCCGCCCCGCCGGCTCCCCGGCCCGCGCCGCCGCTCCCGCACTTTACTTTCTAGTTTGGCCCTCGCGCCGTGCGTCCTGGGTGCTTCTCTTAAATGGAGAAATTTCTGGCCGACTCCTCCCGGCCCAGCCGGGCCATTTAAAAGCGAACGCGGGCACGTCTAGGGGTCCAGGGCCGGTTTATTGTCAGCTGCGCGGCGGCCGGCGCCGGGACGCGGGCGGAGCTGTCAAACGCCGGCCAGGTGGTCTGCGGCGGGCAGAGGCGGACGGAGAGAGCCGATGCTGCCCCTCTTTGTCAGCTAGTTGCGCCTTTAACTTTTCGTGCTCCCGAGCCTCCGCTTTGGTTCTCTGATGATATGTTAGGAAGTCGTTTGAGTTCTTCCTCCCCTCCCCCACCCAGCCGCCGGCCCGGCCCCGAGCAGCCCCGCCGGGGGAGCCGCGGGCCGAGCGGAGCGTGCGCGAAGTTTGGGAGAGTAGCCGGTGTGGCCGCACCAGCCGGTCGCGGAGGGCATGTCTCCTCGGAGCGGGTGCGGATGTAAAGGCTGCGCAATGCCGTGAAGAGTCGCTCCGAGCTTCCCCGGCTCAGGACTAGCTTTCGTTTGTGTCGGGGCCGTGCGCTAGCACTGTGTACCCCAGGTTATACGGTTGCCAGAGGTGTCTTTCGACAAAATGGTTCTACGGCAACTTTGGAAATTAAGAAACGTGTTTTAGTGCTCAGCTCTCGAGGCTCTGGAGGGTGCTGTGCAAGACCCGTGAATCTCTTCCCAAGTTGTGGAATGGCGTGTATCGCGTACTCATTTCATTCTATGATCGTCTCGTTGGGCAGTTGGTAGCGGAAGGGTGTACTGGGACGCGGGGGGAAGCAGCAGATTCATGGATAGTCAGGTTTTGTTTGTTCGGGCGCATTCATTGAGTAGTGTTATTGTCACGTTTGGTGATACAGAGTAAAAATAGTAGTGTCAGTGAAGCAGAGCAGGGTTGTGAGAGACCCACGGAGCCCTCGACAGGATGTGTTCTTTTTGGCCTTGCTGTCCTTTTACTGTGGAAATGATTCAGGCCCTTCAACTTGCCTCCATATTTTATTGCCAGTTCTTACCTAGCTACAACAAATCGTGAGGGAAACAAGTACAGGATATGTATACATTATTGCATTAGCTTCTTTGTGAAACCGAGTTAAGGTTGTATTGTAATGTAGTGCACTGTAATGTAATGTCTGGTATAAAATGCCATTATTACCGTATTTACTGACATGCGGAGAAGGAAGGTGGAGTTTTAAGTAATTTTAAACTTCTTAGACACTTTTTTTGTATCTTTTAAAGCAACAGAAAGCAAACCATGTTAGAATTTTAACTTGATTGCTTCCCATTTTCATTACTGGGTTTCTTTTGGAACATGAATTTGTCAGTTATGTGTTTTAGATTTGCTTTTAAATTATTAGTCTAGAAATGATAGACCTATCTGTGTTGTCACTCTCCTCACCCATACCCATGCAAGTGTGTGCGCGTGCACAGATACGTGCGTGCGGGCACACACACACACACACACACACACACACACACACTTCCCCTGAGGTTGAAAATGAGCTCATTTGTATTAGTGCAGCTCTTGTGTGCACCAGAAGAAAAGTTAAGTTTTAGTGTATTGCCACTTTATTATTTTAATTTTCATCTCTCATATTATGAAGAAAAAGGTAGCTCTTTAAGAAGTTTGAAAGTTTCCGCAGAATGACTCTAACAGTATACAAACATCAACACTTTGGAAAATGTTTAGAACAATTCTAAGTCTTAAGAATGTTTCCTCTCTTAGATTTGAAAA